TAATAGCAGATGGGAACACAAAGGATGCCAAAGTGAATGATAATATTTATTCCCCAAATATAATCTACTCTTAACTAACTACATACTAATATATCACCCTACTATAAGAAATACAGTGACACCTGAATTTTATGTTTCTTAAGCGCCACTCAGAATGAATGTAAAATCAACAAAAAAGGAAATGTAAATTTACATAGCTACTTAAATTAAACAGACTAACACTGTACTGTAATCTAGTTCACTTCTTCCACATGTCCATTAAAGAATGTTACTGCTTCATCGCTTCCTACTCAATCCCGCACACCTCATTCTCAAAACTAATGAGGGCAGCCATCACGTTATCATTGACATCAAACTTCATAAAACGTTCTGACAGAGTCACTGCCCAACAGTGCTCACAACAATGTTGCTGGAGGCCCATCCTCCTCCTCAGACACATAAGATGTAAACTTAGACATCCACAATTTGTTCTGTGGTCAGCACCTCACACTGTTACAACATTATTATGTTAGGATACATATTCTTAAAATGATACACCTGTTTTAGTTGACCCGTCATGTCTGGTTTTGCCGAGTTCTGTTGCCTTTTCACCATCAGTGGTCTGAATTAAACAGAATCCACATTTCTGGCAACAGCTAACTACTGCCATAGTGCAACAGAGCACCATGATTCTGCAATGAAATGCTGTGCATCCAAAACACTTACCTTCATGAGTGTTGTATTATGAAGCAACTTGTGATCAGCCATACAAATACCTTCCTTACAAGTTGCTTGTGGTAATAATGTTTGAATCACCTGATTATTCCCTGGTCCAGTGGTTGGAGAATAATGGGGGAAGGAGGGGGATACAACTTTCACATTCCTTAGGCCCCCCATACACACACAGTTTGGCCTGCCGATCGACCTGCAGGTAGAACTGATGGACTGACGGGTTTCCTACAGTCCAAACAATTGGCCGGCCGGCCGCACCACACACATCAGTTTTTCTTTCAGCCTTGAACTGTGCAGGCCGAACGGGAGGCCAAACTATGTGTGTATGGGGGGCCTTAGGTTGCTTGAGCCTTGGGGATGAGCAGCACAGAGGTCAACCGAAACTAAAGTCTTTGCATTTTGGGAACTCATTTCGGCATGTAACGCCCTTAAAGTCAGTACAGATGGCACATGCTTTCCATTGGCTACATCTTTTGTGGCCAACTTTTTGGCATTTTCAGGCAATGAAGGTTTTCATTTTTCCAGTAACCAATGCTGGGAGTCTGTAAGTTCCATTGGCATGCCAGCCTAACAGAACCATTATCCTCTCCTTGTACAAGGGGTGGACATAACACACATGACATAATCACACAACATACGATTCATTCTAATTAACCTAAACCACAGAAAGGTTGCTACAGCAATCGTATGTTGACAACTTGCTGAGGGAAATGTAGACATAGCACTTATTCAGGAAGCTTGGATATATAGGGGCCAAATAAGAGGCTTAACGAATTCATGGGAAACAGTCTACTCTGTGGTACCTGGAGAAAATGTGAGATAATGCATGTATGTTAATATCATGTTAATGCTTTACCCTTGCTGGAGTTCTGCTCCAGAGACACAATAACAGTGAGGATGACATACACATTGGGCGGAGGCTGTGAGGAGCTCATCGTCACTTCAGCCTACCTTCCATATGACTTGGATGAACCACCACCTTCCAAAGAAGTGAGGGACATCATTGAATATTGCCCATCTCAGAAAAAAGCAGCTCATCATTAGGTGTGACGCCAACGCGCACCACACATTGAGGGTGAGCACTGATATCAACCCAAGAGGAGAATGCCTCATGGAATATTTGGTGAATTTGAACCTTGATATTCAAAACCAAGGTAACGAGCCTACCTTTGTGGTCTGCAATAGGCAGGAGGTTATCGACTTGACACTAGGGACCAATAAAATAGGAAACCTGGTAAGTAATTGGCATGTATCTGATGAGCTCTCCCTAACTGATCTCAGATATATATGCTTTCAAGTAAACAACATTACAGTACTAGATCAAGCCACTTATAGGAATCCTAAGAGAACCAAGTGGGAGTCTTACAAACACAACCTAAAGGTAAATCTGGAGACCATCTCACAAAATATATGTACAATAAAGGATGTTGATCGGTCTGTTGACAAGTTGTGAAGTGCTATTATCTTGCCCTTTAATCGGAATTGTCCTGCTAGGACCACTTGTGAACCAAGGAGAGCACCTTGGTGGCGTAAACAGCTGAGTGGGCTTAGAACCAAAATGAGATGGCTGTTTAATACAGCTAAAAGAACAGGGCAGTGGGACACCTACAAGGAAGCCCTTACCTGTTACAAAAAAGAAATAAGGAAAGCCAAGTGATCCTCGTGGAGGAGGCACTGCCGGGAAATCAATGATGTACCAAGTGATGGCACACTCATGAGGATCATGGCAAAACAGGCGACCAACAAGGTCAGCACGATCAAGCTGCCTAACGGCCAGTATACTCAAACAGGAAGGGAGACACTGAACGAACTATTCAGGGTTCACTTTCCTGATTCAAAATTGAATGATAATTTGGACTATGGACAGGGTCAGCAGAACTTGAGCACTTGCCAAAGCAGGACAAACAAGGCAGACTGGAACCTGGCCAAAGCCATAATTAACCAATCAAAAATCAGATGGGCACTGAATACCTTTAGAGCATTTAAGTCAGCAGGAACAGATGGAATTGTACCGGCACTTTTGCAGCAAGGGGCAGAACTCTTAGTTCCACACCTATGCCGCATATATAGAGCCTGCATGGCACATGACTTTATCCCCATGGCCTGGAGGAAAGTTAAGGTGACATCTATCCCAAAGCCCAGGGAAATTTGAGTACACCAAGGCTAAGGCTTATCATCCTATCAGCCTGTTGTCTTTCCTCTTGAAAACAATGGAGAAAATAGTGGATAGGAATATCAAGGACAAGGTGTTCAGGACATGCCCTCTACACCGAAACCCGCATGCCTACCAAACAGGTAAATCTACCAAAACTGCACTACACAATGTGGTAACATGCATAGAAAGTGCGACTGAACATAAGGATATTGCCATAGGAGCATTCCTTGATATAGAGGGATCTTTCGATAGAACCTCATTTCATATAATCAAACAGGCCACTGGGAAGCATGACATAGAGCCTGCAATATGCAGGTGGATCAGTGCTATGCTGGAAAGCAGAACCATAGCTGCTACATTATCAAGATTAACCCGGGAGCATCCACGTCTAGGGGTTGTATGCAATGGGGGTGGGGGGGTGTGCTCTTGCCTCTACTATGGAGCCTGGTCATCGATGATATCCTATGGCGACTTAATGATGAGTAGTATACAGTAGGATAGGCTGATGATATAGCAATCCTCATAAACAGGAAATTCCTTTCGACAGTGTCTTCAAACAGTTCTGTACACGGTCCAACGATGGTGTGAAAGAACACGGCTTTCCATCAGTCATAATAAGACAGTAATTATACTGCTTACCAGGAAGAGATATATAAAGAGACTTAAGGAACTGACCCTCTTTGGACATGCAGGAGCATGTTTGGTAAAACTTGGGGACCGCAGCTGCATGTTGTGCATTGGACTGCGGTTGTAAAACCCATAATTACATACGGCACCACAGTATGGTGGCCCAGAGTTAAACTCAAGACAAGCAAGGCAGAAATTAGCAAACTGCAAAGGTTGGCTTTCTTGGGTGGGTATCACAGGAGCAATTCAAACATCTCCAACAGCTGCACTGGAGATACTCCTTGGACTCCCCCCCCTGCATATACAGTTGGAGACAGAGGCCAGGGCAAGAATCTACCGTCTCCAGTGCAGCGCTCAACGGAAACCTAGATCTGATAGTTTCGGACATGCATACATAACTCAGAACATGAAAAAAGAACCCATATTACAAACAGGGTCTTACAAAATGATACCGAGACATGTATATGAAAAACCCTTCAGTCATATTTCCTGACAGGAGTGAATTGGAAGATGGGTTTTTGCCCGACAGAAAAGGGGGACTGATCTGGTATACAGATGGTTCCAAGATAAATAAGAGCACAGGAGCTGGTGTGTACTGCTATGGCACGAGGCAGAAACTTAGTTTCAGCCTTGGGCAGTACACGACAGTATTCCAGGCAGAAGTATATGCCATTAAGGCAAGTATTATGGAGAATTTAGATAGGAACTATAGAAATAAGAACATCTACATTCTATTTGACAGCCAGGCTGCATTTAAAGAGCTTGAAAAACACCAGATCAACTCAAAATTGGTCTGGGATTGCCACCAAACCCTCTTGGAACTGGCCAAACATAACAGGGTACAACTGATATAGGTGCCGGGACATGAGGGTATTGCTGGAAACGAAACAGCAGATCAATTGGCTAAGATTGGAGCTGAACATCCATTCATAGGACCTGAACCAGCCTGTGGCATCTCTGTAGGAGTTGCCAGAAAGGCAATCAGTGACTGGACAAATATGAAGCACAACAAATACTGGGGATCCTTGACTGGACTCAGGCAAGCAAAGGGACTCATACGAGGGCCCTCTACTAAGAGTGAAGGAGCTGTTGGACACCTCTTCAAACTGGGACTAAGTAACAGTCCCACTTGTGAGAGGTGTCAAGAAGAAAATGAAACAGCCACACATATCCTGTGTGAATGTGAGGCCTTAGCTTATTTAAGATTACGTCACCTGGGTCAATACTTTGTGGAACCAAGTGACTATTTTGACGTCCCAACGTACAAAATCCTGCGCTTCATTCGAAGCTCAGGATTGCTGAGGGGATAATCAAAAGGGGAAGCACAATAAATCACGGAAGGTCGCGGTGCAAGGGACGAGAAGAACCACCCCTTATACATTCATTCATTCTCCAAAACTATATATCAGACTATATGGCGTTACATCCCAGGAGAAAACAATCTTCATTCTTTATCCTCAAACAAACACAAACATTTTAGATATAATAACTATGAAATATATCATACCTTGATTTGTCATACGGATCAAAATTTGCTGCCATTATGTATATCTTGATATCCAGCGAGTCACAGACTCTATCCTCTAACTTCACTTCACAACCTTCTTCAGATTAAACTTTTTCATCTTGCTACAACAAACCACTTTATCTTACACGACATACAGACAGCAATGGTCGTATGTATGACGCTTACACGTAACCCACCAAGAAAATATTACGTACGAACATGTGTTTGTATTTACAACATACAATACCGAATGAATAAGTACGCTATTCCTATCACGATGATGTCACATTATCAACTTGTGACAATTACACCGTATTTGGGGTAACAACTGCATTAGAAATATTTCTTACAATAAATGCTCACTTTACACAGCTTGTGCACAAACTGGAACATGCTTTCAACAATATTAATACTCTAATATAGACGGATATCCTTATTAAGCATCACGTTTATAACACAGACAACGTAACTTCGCTAGCTATCACACTGCTACGTTCAAATTCACATACATTCCTTAGCCGCACGCATTACCACCAATTGCTTCGACATGGCTGCCTTCGTTTCGCCATTCAACCGCAAGAGGTCAGATATATATTTTCCATTTCTTTTGTTTCAGTACTAGTAACCTTGAAGATGGTGGAACAGGCATTAATTTGGTTCTAACGTGTGTACCAACATATGTTCTTCTAAATGTTCAATTAGTAACGATTAGAAAGTTCGGTAAGTTGCCGTCGTTGCCGTTGTACGCCGTCGTAGGGGTTGTAGGTAATTAGGTAATAGCATGAATAACAAGTGGAACAAAAATGTATGGCAGTCACTGGGAGGGGTATGCAGTAGCGTAGATGTTTGAGAACTTATTTTGCGAAAATCTCTGGGTTATCAGTTTGTCTTGCATGGACTTCAGGAGCTCCAATATTTGTTCCATGTCTTCAATCTAATTCAATCACTTCTTACAACAAACTGTGGCATGTTTAAGCCCGTAACCACTTTTTGACACCAAATTGTCATGTATCCAGGGTTCTGTGACAAGTATTACTGGGTTGCGGCTTTAGATGAAGCTGCTTTATTGGACAGTTCGTCCACGATTACATTTCTGAACACTACAATCACTCTGACATAACTTCTCCCAGGCAATGCGACCTGACTAGTCCATTGTCTCTGATCACTCTTCTGACTGTTGCAATCTACCCTCTCAAGTAGATTTTCTCATGCTGCCGAGAGACCACCTTATGCAAGGGTTCTCTCTGTCTTCGACGCAGCTTTGGCTGGTATATCCGTTTCTGTGGGAACTCAGCAATTCCGTCTCTGTTGTTTAGACAATTTCCTAGGTAACAGTCTGCCTAAGTATTTGTTGCCACTGAAATATGCCTTCTTATTTGTAGCTGTTGCGTGGCAATGAACGTCATATATTCCAGCTTTTAGGCGCCACACCACAAAAAATACACACACATATACATGGGAAATACATAATGTGATTTTACACATACACACCCACAGAGACACATGCGTGTGCTGTGAGAAGTGATGTGAACTGTAACAAAACGCAGTATGAGCTTCGTCTTGTGGCATTATGAAGGTTCCACTACAGGAACATACAAAGAAAGATCACAATTAAAATTTTGAAATGACATAACTCTGGAACACTGGTGTATCAGACGACTGCATGGCTGCATTTTCTCCACCTAAAGAATGGCCATAGAACTTTGAATTATTTTGAATATATTGATGATAAATATATTTTGAGTGTACTGGTATTTTAGCTGTCCCATGTGGAGGTGGGTTAGTATTCCTCCACCGTAGCCCAGAGAATCGTACAAGACAATGAAAAGGGAACCCAGTGCCTGGGGATGTGACTGCGTGACCCTATTTCAGGGGGACATAACTACAGAGACCTGGTCCTCCAGGTTGGGAGTTGGATGCAAGACTGATGACCTTGCTTTGTAAAAAAAAGTTACAAGATCCAAAGAAATGTAACTTCTAAGGAAGGCTGTGGCAAAAAGAAAAAAGGCTGTTTCACCAATGATGGTGATGATATTTTAGGTACCTCTAAATATACTGTAACATTACTAAACATCTTTTAGAAATGTAATTATCTATATGATTTAGCCTGCAGTAGTGTATTCTGTACTAGGAAAATGTCCTGTAACTGTATTGTATTTATAGGTATTTTATAAATATTTTACTCTAACTTGCCCTACAACATGCATACTAGGATATATGTGTTGCATGTGTCTACCACCTGAATGCACGATGCTCAGTAATTCAGTATGATATATCAAAAGCTCAGCTCTCATTTCATCTAATCTAATATGATTAATTATGAATGCAGTGTAATCACAAATTAGACAAATGAAAAATAAACTGTAAAAGAGTTGTAATATTTCAGGAAACTATTTATGGATATTGTACTCATTACTGAGGTTATTTGCTTACACTGTTTCCATTATCAGTTATTTGAGGGCAACAAAACAGCATGTGAAAGTGTTTGTCCAGACATTGTTTAATTATAGGTGCTATTATCAGCATGATAATAAATGGTATTGCTGTGCACTATCATGGTCTCCCAATGCCAGTCCTCTTTCCTCATTTTCTTTGTGAATTTCTATTTTATTTATTTTTGTAAAATCAGATCCATTAAGTTCTACCTCTGCATGTCTGAAATGTGTATGGCATAAATCATGCCCACAGAGATTGCTGTAATATTTCTAACATTAACTAATCTAAACTAACCAGCCAAATCTTCTTGACTTGGCTTTCCTCTGCATGTTGCTTTTATAAAGACCATCTTGTAATTGACCTTTTGATGGCCTACAGTTCCCATTGGCCCTTCTGGGGGTCCCGTCTCTGTTTCTCATTGCCTGCTCGTTTCTTAGCTTGGGTCATGTTACTTTAAAGATGGAGACAGCATGTTTCTCTGAAACACTGGTAGCAGCCTACCAGAGCACATAGCGTCATATGAATTATTTCTTTGCCTTTCAATTTGTATTAATATCTGCTTGAATATGTATGCTGATGACAGCCTGTTTTGAATAAGAATAATGTGTCTGTGTACTGAACTTAAAGATGTACTAAAGTGTCACAGAGAGTATTAATTTATTGTAATTTTTCAAGTTGTACTTCATTTCAGGACTATCGCAATGGCTTCTTTTGACTTGGACCCAACGTTTACTCGCTGTATAAGGTTAATGCATTCGAAATCAAAGGATTCTGAAGATCAGTTACGAGCAATGCTTGATGACGCAATCATACAGCGTCATGGTAGCAGTAAAACACTGGCTAATATTTTCATTAAAAAGGTGAATTCACATAACTGAGTTAAGATTAAGTTTAATTATATTATAATTAATGTAAAAGAAGTAAAAAAAAGTAAAGTTATCCCTGTACCAGTCCATGAAGGCCCATAGGGTTGTGAGACGTTGAGGGTTCCACACTATCTAGAAAATTGGCTCCAAGATGGCGGTAAGGTTGTCAGCCTTACGCGCCAGCCGCGCTTTGCTCCTCAGGAAAATTATTTAATTAATTCCTGGTACACATTTCTGTTAGAGGCTGAGTAAACCCCAGGGCCTAGTGCAGCTGGAAGGATTAGGTCAACTGAAAAAAATCCAATGACCTCCTCGGGACTTGAACCCACAACCTTCCGGCTTGTAGCATAGCCCCTCAACCAACTACAATATCGTGTGCCCCCATTATTATTGATGTAAGGGAGAAATGATAGTTGTATAATAAAACATTATGTACATGTATTTGTGAAGAAAAATTTTATTTTTGTTCTCTTTCCAGAAATATGTAAGTGTTTACAGGGCACAGAGTTCTGATCCTTTCATGTGCATGTGTATCTCATTAATGAGACATTGGGCAGATATAATGGCTAGATACATAGTTTGTGTTATGGAAGAAAATTTATTAATGTTGCTTATGCCATTTCCTGTCAGCATGTCATGCAAAACTAAAGCACCGCAAATAAAATTTCAGATTTTTTCACAGAGATAGGCATTTAAAAATTGCGAAATTTATCCTAAGTGAATTACTGTAGAATATTGTAAGATATGATAGTTACCTGATAGTATGTACATTTCTAACCCTGTCACCCAGAAAATCTTACATTAAAATCATGCCACACTTCTTACTAATGATTGCAAGGGGTTTCATACTTTGTAATTAGTACCTTTTATGAAGAATCATTGCACTGGTGTAGTTTTCATGCCTAGAGTGTTGTTCTCGTATTACAGGTAGGGAGCTATAGTAGTCTTGAGTAAAAAGTATTTTATCTGAAATATACAGCCTATGATATTGGTACTGTAACTAGTCGACAGTATGTCACTGTAAACCTTGTTTTGGAAAACTAGATCTATTTTTATTATTGCTGCTCCTTATTCCAGCTGGTAAGTATGAGAATAAATTGAATTATCCTGTTCCAGAAATTGCAGAGACTGATTATATAATTATGTAACACATTCAAGCTATTACATGTACATAGATTTAATGCAGTTTCATTTGGCATCATCAGGGCTGTCCATCTCATGGCATGCAGCCCATATTGCCTGTGAATATGCCCTTCCTTTCCCCAGAATATAGGTTTGTGCTTCCTTCCACTTAAAAAAAAGCTGTGAAGTTTGTCAAGAACACTAGGTGGTTCAAATATGACCGGGACTGATTTTTTTGTAAACAAGCCGCACTGTGCAGCAGCTGTGCGACCTTGAGAGAGTGAAGCCACAACCCCCACCCTCCCTCCTGTTAGGGTTAGAACCTGTTCAGTCCTGTCTGGAAGTTGCTAGAGTGATGAGTGAACAGAAGGTACCGCAGAGCATGGAACAACGCATTGTTATCAAATTCTTCGTTGGAGAAAACATCCCGTCCACTGAAATTCACCACAGGCTCCAACAACAGTATGGGGAAGAGTGTCTTTCACGGACCCGTGTGTTTGAGTGGTGTAAGTGCTTCAGAGCGGGCAGAGAGCGCATGGAGAATGAACCGCATGATTGTCGCTGCGAACATCCGTCACTAAGCCAAACATTGATCGTGCAGACGCACTTATTCGTGAGAATAGGCGCATCACTATCAAGGAACTTGTAGCAGTGCTGTCCACCAGTGCTGGTAGTGTAGAAGACATCATGAAATACCACCTGCACTATCGCAAGGTGAATGCACAGTGGGTACCACGCACTTTGACGGACATGAACAAAATGGTGCGCATGCAAGTTGCCAGTTGTCTCCTACAGCAGTTTGAAGACGAAAGTGATGCATTTTTGAAGTCTGTAGTGACCACCGATGAAACGTGGGTGCACTACTTCATTCCTGAGTCCCAGCAGTCATCATGCGAATGGTGGTATACCAGTTCTCCCAAACCCAAGAGAGCGCGGAGGAGCTGTTCGGCAGGAAAAGTGATGGCAACGTTCTTCTGGGACTGGCAGGGGGTTATCCATGTAGACTTTCTGACAGATGCCAGAACAGTCAATGCAGCTTATAACTCAGACTTCCTGGCAACAGACGTGAAGGAAAAGATCCGATCCAAGCGGAAGAGAGGTGGAAAGCAGGTAGCCTTCCTTCAAGACAACGCACACCCCCATATGGCCAAAACAACAATGGAAACCCTCCGGAAATTGAAATGGAACCTTCTGACACATCCGCCATACAGTCCCGATTTGGCGCCAAGTGATTTCTACCTGTTCGGAAGGCTCAAATCAGACTTGCAAGGCATGCGGTTTGTGGACAACAACGCCGTCATCCAGAATGTTCGGGAGTGGATACGCCGCCAACCACAACACTTTTTTGAAAAGGGCATCAGGATGCTTCCAGAACGTTGGAAAAAATGTGTTGACTCCGGAGGGGAGTACGTTGAAGACTGACATGTGCAAGTAAGTGTTTGGCAATTTTGGTTTAAAAAAAATCAGTCCCGGTCATATTTGAACCACCTTGTACATTATTAATAGTGCTTGTCAAATATTGCCTGCAATTTATTAGTTGAGCTGGGATAGCATAGTCAGTATATCAACTGGCTATGGGCTGGATGACCGAGGGTTCAGAGTTTGAGTACCAGTAGGGTCAAGAATTTTCACTTCTCCAATCATCCAGACTGGCTCTGGGGTCCACCCAACCTCCTATACAATGGGTACCAGGGGCTCTTTCCTGGGGTAAAGTGGTTGGGGTGTGAACATGACCACTCACCTCCAAATAGTGCCGAGGCCAAGAAAATGTGGATCTATACATCCATCCCCCATATGTCTTCATGGCATAGAGCTTAATTAGTTAAGCACAGGGACAACTTTTATTTATCAGTTGATTTCACATTACACATAATAAATAACATGAGGTGTGACAATAAAGTTCACGAACTTGCCACCATGTGCTTGCCATGGCAGCAGTGGACAGAAACCTCAGTATGGTTTGATGACTTGGCATATTAGCATTTAACAACTGTGTTGTTGTTGATCTATGGTAGTCTCTTTTTGAGTGGCATCTGTTAATGTCTGAATGTGTTTTGGTGTGCTGTCATGAGAATGTCAGAACTAATATTAAATTTCTTCTTAAACTTGGTAAGAGTGGAAGTGAAATCAGAGCAATGTTAGTGCAAGTTATAGGGATAATGCTATGAAGAAAACAGCAGTTTACAAGTGGCTGACATCTTTTTCTGAGGGAGGAGAAAGTGTCACTAATGAACAGAGATCAGGGTGGCCAGCAATCAGCAGAACTGAAAAAAAAAAAAATTGCAAAAAATGTCATCAAATTGTGCATGAAATGGCTGACTGTCAGGAGCATAGCAGAGCAAGTGAATATTGACCGAGAAATGGTTAGGAAAATCTTAAATGAAGATCTTTACATGAGGAAGGTGAGTGCAAAAATGGTCCCAAAGGAGCTCACATGGCACTGTCTGTGAGGGAGTTTTTAGCTAGTAAACAAACAACCGTGCTGGAACACCATCCCTATTCGCCAGATGTGTTACATAATTAGATAATTATTTGGTTTCCTGGATTATGGTTAGTACATTTTTTCTCACACCCATCAGTTAACCAAACAGGCTGGTCTAGCAGTAATGCTCAAGATTTGTATTTGGGAAGTGCTCAGTTTTAATGTCAACTGAAACACTGGCTATCCTGATTGAGGTTTTTGTGATTTCTGCCAGTCTATCCAGGAAAATGCTGGGATAATACCTCAGTTAGGCCTCAACTGCTCTTTTCAAAACCCCTTCCCATTCCTGAATCATACTAGTCTCTGACTATATACTCTCAATACTGACAGTGTTGTTAAATAGAACCTATGTCTAGGTTTTCTTGGTGGCCTCTTTCCTTATGGCTTTCCCACCAGAAACCTGTATGCATTCCTTTTTGCCCCATTTGTGCTACATTCCCTGTACATCTCATCCTTGACTTGATCATTCTGATTATATTTGGTGAAGGGTACGAGTTCTGAAGCTTCTCATTATGCAATTTTCTCCAGCCTCCTATTATTTCATCCCTCTTTTGTCAAAATATTCTCATCACCCTGTTCTTTGTGTTTGTCCCTTAACATCAGAGACCAAGTTCTACACCCATACAAAACTGCAGGTTAAATTGTAGTTTTGGGTATCTTAATTTTTATGTTTTTACACAGCAGGTGAGAAGATATAAGTTTCTGAACTGAGTGGTAACAAGCATCACCCAAGTTTCACCTGCTCATAATTTCCTTATTAATGAAATTTTGATTTATTATTGTTGTTCCCAAATATTTGAAGTTCTACACATTTTTGAATGATCTGTTAGCTGTCTTTATGTTATAATTTTGCCCCGCATTATAGTGTTGAGTCATTAACATATTCTTAGATTTCTCTGCACATACTCGTAGTTCTGGACCAACCTCCTTACCAGCATCATTTAGAGCTTCTTTGTTTTTCTTTATGGTATCTATGTTGTCTGTCAGTAGATATACATCAACTGCATAGACAAAACTGACACGGTTCATTCAATTTCAGGTCCATTTGGTTTTCTTGGACGTTGCTGAAGACATATTCTAAAGCAAAGTTGAAAAGCAGTGGTGATAAAGCATCTCCTTGTTTTAGACCATTTTGAATAGGAAACATATCAGAGAGATGGTTACCTTTGTGGACTCACTATAAGTTTTATTATGCACATTTAAATAAGCCTGACTAGTTTCATGGATACCCTGAACTTGATGAGAATATTATACAGTACTTTCCTCCTAACTGAACCACAGGCTTTCTTCAGTCTGTGAATAGCTACTGTCTCATTGTCTTCCCACTTTTTCTTTGGTATCTGACAAATGCAGGAATTCTGTTCATTAGTTTGTTAAATCGAAACCTAAACTAATGATTCCCAATCATTTTGTCTATACATGGACTTAACCTTGAGGAATGGTTAGTGGATACAATTTTGTATGAAGCTGATAATGGTGATATGCCTTGATGATTACTACAGTCTGTCCTTCTCTTGTAGTACCTGGTTGAACAAACTTGTTCTGGTCATGCCATAGGTATCTTAGCTTCAAATTTTAATTTGCTTTTTTGGTATCCATATTCTTTCCATTCATGTCATGTGATGAAACAGTTATAATCATTTCTGTTCTAAATCTGATATAAACTTTTGGATTCTATGTAACTTCTCCAAAAATTTTGTTTTCAATTCTGCTCATTCTTGTTTTTCTCTCAATACTTCTAAAATTTTCATAGCCATTTCTCATATTTTGCTTTCATTTCTCTTTGTGCGTGTCAGTGATTAGATGATGTGTGTTAGATTTGGTTTAAGGTATACTTTATGGATTGTTGTTTTGTAGTGTTTCTAGATTTCTTTGTCATATTCTGTTCCTTTTATAGTTGGTGGAATTTAGAACTGTCTTGTATCAAGCCAAGAGTGGATATTGATACTACTTTCAGAGTGTTTAAGAGCGTATGAAAGAAGGTATACAAATACTGATCCACTCAAGTTGATGATAATAATTATATCATATTTCATTTAGGAGACATTAAGCAAGAGAGAAAGCTCAAAACCTTCAAGTTCAAGTGGAAGAAAAGATGACTTTCGTAAAGAAGTAGAAAAGAAGAACTTTGACAAGGTAAAAGAATCAAAATTTTACAGTAGTATTTTGGAGTTATGCCTTAGTATAACATTCTCATGTTGAAATTTGTTAACTAGTATTCTAAATATAATTCTTCTTTACAGTATGATAACTCAGAATCCTGTAGTTTATGTAGTTTGTCTAATATGTATTGGAATGTAGCTCAGCTTTGTATCACTAACTAATTATTCTAGCTGAGTGTGGAAGAAAGTTCAGAGGCAAATCGTGAGGCAAATAGCAGCAAACGGTCCAAGAACAATGATGTTTCTAAACCTGGACATGCCAAACCTTTGCTGAGTGGTAATTCATCACCGTCACCTCACACCATTGTGTTGGGTAATATACATGAAGCAGAACCACTTAAAGATGATAACCTTCAGCCAGAGGAAGATGATGATGATAATGGCATACCTCTTGAAATTTTGGAAGAAGACTTGACCTGTGTTGTTTGCAGGTAAGAAAATATTAGTAAGAAGCAGCATGTTCTGCATATTGTAATCTTAAAATAAACAGTATACCATAAATTGTAATCTTGTTAGTATTCCTTAAGTTATTGAGAAGAGTAATACATTGTCACTTGTAGGAGAAGGGGGGGGTTGACTTATAAGAGGGGTTCTGGATTGGAAGATTGGACTTATTGACACCTTTTACACACACTAGGGTTCTCAGTCTTCACCAGCTGTATGCTGGTAATGGATTTGTAACAGTCTCACTATAACTTAAATCACACATGAAATCTTCTTTTCACAGCCTAATTCCTTTTTTGCCATTTCTTCTCAATCACCTTAGACTGCCATCTCCAGATGCCGACCCATTTCTTGACAACAACCACTGTTCCCTTGGATCTTCTCATTATATAGCCTCCGGGTGGACCCATGGAAGACACTGTCACCTATTGTCCCCTATTGTTTTAGGTGTGTTTAGTGATCTGTTGCCTAGCAATAGACATTCTCTTGTTGCACGTGTTGGCTCCCACGGTAATGTGTTTACTGAGTTGTTGCCTATCAATAGGTCTGTACATTACAATATTCATAAGTAAAGTAAAGTAAAAGTAAAGCTATCCTTTTACCAGGCTGTGAAGGCCCATAGGGTTGTGAGAAATTGAGGGTCCCACATTATCTAGACAGTCGGCTCAAAGATGGTGATATACGAATCCTACAGGTCAAGGTTTGCATAAATATTAAGGAATTGTTTCAACCACGAGACACGCTGCATGCTAACTTCCCAGAAACTATCACAGTGTAGTTAGAATGAGTGTTAGCTGTAATGAAAATGTCCGTATAACAACAGAAATCAGCACTGTTAGTTTCTTAACATTACATATATGGAAAAACTTCCATAAAACAAAGCTTCTGACATGTTTTCTATCTTTCATTATGAATGTGCCAGCAGGATGGATATTGCTGGACCCACATTAATTTTTTAAACCGTAGTGCTGTACTGTGATATACACAATTAGGAGATGGATTTCAAAATTGTAGGTTTCGAGCATCTTTGCTATATCACAAGCACTTACTAGTTTTATAGATTCTTAAATCAAGGATGCACATTATCTCATTGACCATTATGTTTTAGCATAGTCTGTTTTGCCAAGTTACCAGAGCAGAAATTTGTCCTAGGTTGATTTCCTGTCCATAACCTTACTTCCAGAGTTACTCGTATAGAGTGGTTCATTCCTCCATTTCTGGCCATAGTAGGCCATGTTCTGTCTTTGAAGCAAGAAATGTCAGGTGACAGGCAGCCTACCACATGATATGATGGATGTTTGTCCATTTTTGAAAATTGTTTGGCATAAAACCACTTTATGTACTCTGACATTACAATGAGTGCAAAAGGAACTGTCCTCCAATATCTAGCACATTTTGCAACAATGTAAAAGGTATCTTGGCAGCATTGAATTTCATCTTCTGTCAGACTGTCAGTCTGCATGAAAAGTTCCTGCTTGCTCCCTGCTCAGATTACTTTTTGACTGACAATGGAGGTAGTACATTCACCTGAAATGTTACTAAATATCTACCAGGTTAGATGGTGTTAACATCCCAAAAGACAGTATGTTCTTTCTGCTTCTAGTTTCCCAAGAGATAAAAATCGCATATTCCGATCTTGGAAACAAGTTGGCTGTAGTTCTTAAGTGATTATTTGTCCATCACCCACAGTCACTGTGATGCATGCTGCTTCAGTGTCCTGGACACTTCACTCCAAAAACTGTTCTCATACCACTCTGATTTAACATCATTAAATGATGCCCAGAACCTAATAATACACAATATATTTAAACAAAAACCTAAAGATAGTTACTACTATATACGGGAAATAAATGATGTTTCAATTACTAATTTTAATAACAAATTAAGTTATGAGTTATGGGAAGACGTAATTAATGAAAAAGATATAAATACTGCCTCTAACTTTTTCCTGAATGTATACTTAACAATATTTCACTCTAGTTTTCCCTTAAAAAAAGTTCATACCCGCTCTGCCAGTAAATCCTGGCTAACGCCTGAAATCAGGATTTCATGTATAAACAAAAAAAAGCTTTACTTAGCTCAAAGAAATAGTGATGATATAAATTTAATTAAGTTTTATAAGAATTACTGTAAAATTTTAACTTCTGTTATCAAACTTGCAAAAAAGAAACATAACAATAATATTATAACTCATTCAAATAATAAAATTGCAACTGTGTGGAATATTGTAAAGAGTACTTCGAAAATAAAACCTAATGTACCCAATATAAGTACTATAAGGGTAAACAGTAATTTATCCTCAGATTCTCAGATTATTGCTGAGGAATTCAATAAATATTTTGTATCAGTTGTTAAAAATAATCGCTCAGCTAATGACACTTCCAACCAAGAAAATCCTA